CTAGATAGTAGCACTTCATGAGAAAGGGATCCAACCACCCAAAATCCAATAAAGTTTGGATCTTTTTGTGCTTATTGGCTGGAAATCACAAAAGGAAAGAATGCTCAAGTTTGGAGAGACCAATCAGGGCCCACATTTCCAAAGGGCAGGCTCCTTTAGTCCCTCGCTCCTGATAACATTTCTCCTCCATCTTCCATACCATCTGGGTAATTATGATATTATATTGGGAGGATATTAAAACTCTGAGGAGATTGTGAAATGTCTCCCAGCAGTTTTTCTCTTATACATGCCTTGTTCAAATTGTCCACTTTGAAGCTGGGCTGGAGATGATCATGGCCCAATCATTGAACAGACAGGCAACACGGAATGCCTAAGAGTCTGAGAACCAGACATCCTCTATTAGTTATCCTAGGACTCCAAAGGGTCACACTACTAAAACCGGGCACCTGGCATCAGGAACATCTGTAGGAGGTGGTTTAATTTGTGGCTGAGAGGGCAGACTCTAGAGCCAGACTGTCTTGCTTCAAATCTGAGGTTTGTCACTTATTAGGGGCGTAGCCTTGAGCCTCAGCTTCCTCCAAAGGAAAATGGTGGTAATAATAGATCGTATCTTGTAGGGTTGTGTGACGATTGAGTCAGATAGGGCACGTAGAGCGCTTAGCACAGTTCCTGGCACATATTAAGCCCTTGCTAAATGTTAAATGCTATTATTTATTAAAGGGGAGAATCCTGTTCCTCCTTTAGGTGTTTCTTTCTCTTCCTTTTGCCCTTGACCCCCAACCTAGACCCCCTCCCTTGTTTACATTTCTGAAGCCAGCTGCTCCAATATCCCCTCCTCTTCTGGTCTGGGATGCAAAGGAAAAACAGCTTGCTCAGGAGCATATTTTTTTTCCTATTGCTTGCAGCAACGCCTTAAACCAACATGCCACAGTTCATTTTTATCCAAGAGCTAAGGTCCCTTTTAACCAGTCATTCCTTATTTATTCTGTTAAAAAAAAAAAATCAAGGTCCTTTGGTTTCGAGTTCCTTTATTGTATTTTGTAAGGCGCTGAGCACTTATTGGATACTATGTAAATGTGAAATACTCTAACAATAGTAACTGAGACAGATGAGAAACTCAAGGAAGCAAACTCACCATTTTGAATTTAGCTTTTTATTGATGGGCTGAGTGATTTGGGAGAGACAACGTGGCTCCAAGGCTAAAGAGCCCTCAGGGAGTCAGCGGGCAAAGGTTTGAATCTCAGTCACAGCAGCAGCTCCGGTGAGCCCAGGCAGGCAGCTTCCTTCCCCTGGAACTCAAATTCTCCCTGTGAACCCCGGGCTTAATGCCACTAAATCATCTCCCAGGGATGTTAAGCAAGGCTGATGTTTGTGGTTGTGTAGACTGTGCACTGCACAATGATGCCAGCTGAGGGGGTAAGTGGGGCCTGAAATGTAGCCGACGCTCCACTCATCAATCTGTGCACCCTGGAGGAAGGGGCGCTTTTTCCTAATTTGCACAAAGGTACTATATGGACTAGTAGAGGCCCTGTATGAAGTAACGTGACAGTGATAGGGCGCAGAGCTTAGCACCCAGAATGGATAAATTCATTCAACACACAGTTATTGAACACCTGCTACATGCCACACCCTATTCTAGGGGCTGAGGATATGAAGATGAATATAAATAATTTCTGCCCTTGGGTCCTCTCTCTCCTTCCCCAGCCCATCTGTTACCCAGCCTCTGGCCCCACCTCCCCTACATTCAATCTATCATCAAGTCCTATTGACTCAATCTGCAAAATACATGTCAAATCCACCCACTTTGTTTCACTGCCAGATCTTCGTTTCATTATTTCTTACCTAGACTACTGCACCAAATGGGTTCAAACTTCTACTCTGGTCCTCCAAACAAAAGCAGAAGTGATTGTACTTGAGATGTGAATCAGATAACATCACTCCCTTGTTTGAACACTTTGGTGGCTATAATTTAATCCAGGTTTCTCACCTGGTCCTACTTACCTCATCATGTCATCTGGATCACTCAGCCCACACTCTCTCCATCTGTATTAGTCAGGGTTCTCCAGAGAAATAGGAACCAATAGGATATCTATCTATCTATCTCTCTATCTATCTATCATATATTATATCTCTATCTCTGTATATCTCCTATATACGTATATATATATATATGTATATGTATATGTTTAAAAGAGATTTATTGCAAGGAATTGGCTCATACAATTAGGCTGAGAAGCAATGGAGAGTGGAGCAGTCTACTTTACTGAGTCCAGGGATTCAAATGTTAATGTCATCTAGAAACATCCTGGAAGACATACCCTGAAATAATATTTAATTTAGGCACCCTGTGGCCCAGTCAACTTGACACATAAAATTAATCATCACACCATTCCAGCAAAACCGACCATTCATTCTGTCCTTCAAACAGCTTAGCTCTTCCTTTTTATAGTTTCATCCCTTTGGCTGGAACACTTTTTCTCTGGTTCTCCCCTTGACCATCTCTTTCTCACCCTTTCGTGCTCAAGTGGAAAGGTCACCTCCTCAGAGAGGCCTTCCTAGACTGCCTTGTTAAAGCACAGTAATGTAGTATTCTATGTCCATCACCGCTCATTGTCGGAATGTTGTATCACAAAGTGGCCCAGCTCAATTTGTAAGTATGGTGTTCTTTGTTTATTTTCTTTCTGCTAGATTGTAAGCTCATAACAGTAGGGACCATGTTCTTTTGTTCTCTACTGTATATCCCTTCAGTATCTTGCTAGTCTCTGGTGCATAGTAATTAACAACAATAAATATTTGCTAAATGAAGTTACAAGAAATTCATCTAATAGGGGGGTAATCACCACAATACAATGTAGAGATGTGTGGTATGACCCAGGTTGTGGTATGCTGGTCAACTGACCCTCAAGAAAAAAAAAGGCCCTGCTTTGTCCTTTGCTGATTTCCATGATGGTGGAAATACTCCCATCACAGCTGATTTCAAGCTACCAATGATTTAAAAACTGACTTGCAAAATTCCTGAGAATTTAACAGTTGGCTTTTTGAAGCTGGTATGAGCTGGCCGTAGCATATCACTGGGAGGGAGGTCAGCATGGGTGCAATGAGTACCCAGGAAAGAGACTGGGGGAATAGTAGTTCATCCTGGGGAAGCTCAGCAAACACTTCCTGGAGGAGGTGATATTTGATGTGTGTTTTGAAGGATGAGTATGTTGGCTCAGGCCCTATAGCTCAAAAATGGCTAATGTAGACCTGCTCCCAGTAGCCTACATTCAACTGTTTCTGGCTCCCCTTCTCAGCTGAGTTCTGCTTGCCTGGGACCTATCACTTGACTCAGTCCAATCCTCAGAAAATCCCTCCATGTGGCTGGTGTTCTACTGGATTTGCTCTGAGTCCAATAGAGGAGAATTAGGGTAGAAGTTAATCAAGGGAGAACGGGAAGTGTTTTCCAAACAGAGGGACAGCTTATGCAAAGGCGAGAGCAAGTGTAGTACAGTAGTTTCATAGATCCAGGAGTATGTGGGAGGGAGTGGGATCAGATTAGCTCCTGGGAGACTCTGACAGGCTGAGGAGCATAAACTTATTCCCAAGCTGGGCTGGGGCACTTGGCAGAGGGAAAGGGACTGATTACTTTTCCTGCATAATTCTTATCACAGCTGGTAATTGTGTTTTATTGTTGTTCTTGGTTTTGTTTTTTGGCATGGAATCATTTGATTAATATCTGCCTCTTCCAAGAGAATGAAAACTCCACAAGGTCTGTCTTGCTCGCCATTATTTTCTCAGTACCCAGCACAATGCCTGGTACATATTATGAACCAAAATACATCCTATTGAAGGATTGAATCACCTGCGGAACTTTAAAAAAGGCCCACCTATCCTAAAATATGATTTGCTATAAATCTCCCTTCTCTGAATCTCCCAGCCACAATATGGGATGGGGTGGGGGTGAGGGGAGTAGTGGGGCTGGCATCCATATGTTGTAAAAGCCACCCAAAGGATTCACCTCCATTCTTCTTCCCAAACTCAATCAAGTGGATCCTTTAAAGCATTTTACCAGCAGTGTGACATGATTAAATTTGCTGTTTGCATAAATGGGCCTGATGGCAGTAGAGAAGACTGGATAGAGGTACTGAGGTCCAGAGACCAGTAAGGAAGCTGATGCAGTAATCAGATAAGAAATGATGCGAGCCTGGGTCAAATCACTAGCAGTGGGAATGAAGAGAGAACAGATTGAAGAGTTACTCGGGACATGGACTCTACGAGATTTGGTGACCATATGGACATGGGTGGAAGAGGAAGTGAGAGAGAAGGAGGAATCTAGGTTGAAGGTTGGAGTGAATATTAATGATTAGGGAGGACGGGATAGTTCACTTTTGAAGTTGCTGTATTTGAGATGCCTGTGGTATGTGAATGAAGAGAGATGTCTAGGAAGTTGGGAATACGAACTATGAGAACAGGAGAGAAGGGTCAGGAGTGTCCCCTCCCCCACTCCACTACCTGGAACTCTGGAGAACACCAATATTTAAGACGGGAGTTAGGAAAAGAATTCTTGAAGGAGACTGAGAAGAATGACCTGAAAGGAGGAAGGGAAACCTGCATAGTGTTAGAAAATAATGTCCTACAGCGTCAAATAGTGCCTAAACCTTAAGTTAGAGGACTGGAAAATACCTCCAAAGAATTTGGCAACAAGGACACTGATGGCAAAAACGGCATTTTCTGCAGGGGCAGAAGCTGCAATACAGAGGACAAAGGAGGAAGCGGGGACAGTGAGTTTAGACTACCTTATTCAAGAAACTTGGCTGTGAAGAGAAGGGGGATGGTCTGACTGCGTGACATATAAGGACATCTGAGCACGTTTCTAGCTGAGGGGAAGTGGGGCGGGTTGAGCAAGAGAGCGTAAACATCTTCCCACCCTCGCCACTTCGCCAGGAACCCTCCCTTCCCCGCCCCCCGCCCAGCAACGTGACCGAGAGGCAGCTCGCGGGGCCTAGGCCTGGCGCAAACTACAGCCCCCAGAAGGCCCCGCGGCGACGGGGGCGGAGCCGAGGCCTGACGCGCGCTCCAGCGGCGCGAGCGGAAGAGCAAGACCTTGGAGGCGGCGGCGGAAGCCGAGAGCGACGGCGCCCCTGGTAACGAGCAGCCCCGCGTCCCTGTCCTTCCCTTCCTTCGTGCCCCAAGCTGGGCTCCTCGCCTCCACGTCTCCCCTTACCCCTCGGACTAGAGTTCCTTTCCCCCTTTGTTACCGGTATTTTTTCCTCACGTGACTTGCGGGGCGGGCCCCCGCCTGGGGCGGGGGTTACTGGGAAGCTTCCGCCCTTCGACCCCTGCGGGTCCTGGGTTGCGGGGTACCTTCCCGAGGCCCTTTGCTCTCCCAGCGGCTGCGTGCCGGCTTTGGGCCCTAGCCCCAGATACTCCCTGCGGAGGGGACGTTCCTTTCCCGGGTTTCAACAGGTACTTAGCGGGTCCGTGGCGACCCCCCGGGGGTACGGGGCTGTGGGCCGCTGAGGCCGCCCCGAGACGACCCCGGGGCTGCTGCCTGATTCCCGGCCGCGAGCCTCTCGAGTGAGTCCACTCCGCTGCCCGGAGCCCTGGGCTATGGGCTGGGAGTGAGCCGTCTGTGCAGGGGGCTGTACTTCCTGGTTTTCTTGGGCCGCCCTCGGAAAACCCTAAGTCCGATGGTTAAAGTTTTGTTTATCAGTAAAGTCACCTCCCAGAGTTGAAGGAGTACAGGAGTTAGAGTCTGATGTCCTGGGAGGAGTCTCGGGTCTGCCACTTGCTGGACCTGTGATCTTTTGCAGCCCGTTTATCGCAGCCTCGGTTTCCCATCTGAAAAATGGGGACGGTAGCCTTTGGCCGGCCGGTCGGCCTGCCTTCCAGTTTTGTTGTAGGGTTCAGGAGAAGTAATAATGCGAGAAAGCATGTTTCAAATATAACCTCACTATTCTCCGGTCTCCATTCCGGGTCAGTTGACTTTTAAAACCACATTCGTGTCTTTATGAACTTGTCATAAACATGATCATGGTCGTTATGAAGGTCAGATGAGTTAATAAGTAGGGAGAAAGTGTCTTTGGAAACGAATGTGAGTCATACACATATTCTTATGCCGTGTTCCTGGTGAAGAGGTGACATAAGACCTCATCACCTGTAGAGTCAGTTTTAAACTTTATCTGGATTTTAAGATCCACCAGAATTTGGACACTTCCATCTCTTCAACACACACACACCTGTCTACCCCCTGCTCTGTTAGAACCTTCAGCACCACAGATACGAGGATCTCAGAAAGCACTTAATGTTTCTCAGATAAACTCATGCCTGTCTCCAGCAGGTCGTACGTCTTTTTCACCTTTTCAGATACAGCTCGTGCTAAACCTCCCTGTGATTCTGACATAATCCTGCTAACTTTCTGTGTGTGTGCAAACTAGCTGAAATATTGGGGTTATTGTCACCTATTCTAGGTAAATGTGCTAGGAATCTGGGTTTCCTTATAGTTAGAATTCAGAATATAAGTAGCCAATATTCCATTTTGTTTTCTTTTCTGGCAGTTAAGCTCTGAGACTCTAAGCAGGTGGCTTTTTGTCTTTTTTCCCCCTTGTAGAGAATGGGGATTTTACAATCAATTCTTTATGGGTTTGAAGGTGTAGTAATTAGGTAATCTTGTATTTATTCTGAAATCATTGGTTGACAAATCCTTGAACATGTTTCAAAAGACAAAAGAGAATGGCAATAAGTGAATTAGTGTAATGTACCAAGTTGAACAAATTTGAGTTCAAATTCTGGTGCTGTGACTTTTAGCAAATTAGTTGACCTCTTTCAACCTGTTTACTAATCTTTAAAATGGGGATAATTTACCTCACAAGGTGTCTATAAGGATTAAGTCAGATGTGAATATAAGGAGTCTTGTAGTGCCTAAAGTGAGTAAGTGCTCATTATTTTGTTGCTGTTGTAATTGATGACTAGGATGATGGTAAAAAATGATGATGATAATTTTAGATAAAGTATTTTCTTGAGATTCCATTTTTTTTGTTTGTAAAATGAGGATAGTTATCTTTAACCCATAAACTTAAAAAAGATACTGTAGAGGTTCTCACATTGTAGAGTTTTGTGCTTTTTTTAGCAATTGCATTTTATATAAAGATTATATTATGCTGTTTTTCACTTTTGGAGGTTTCAGAAATGCTGTTGTGAAAAGATCGTTGTTGAGATGTGCTGTTGGACTAGTACTTCATTTGTAACCTGTAGTGAGACTGCTGTTTTCCATCTGCACTTTATGGCTTGTAGCAGAACAATTATCTATGTTTATGACTTAAGTATTGACTAGGACATAGTTTTATGGAGCGTTTTTTTGTCCTCCCCTGCATTGTTTTTTTAAGCCAGACTATTTGACTCTAAAAGTTTAGCCTAGTGGGTAGGGTCCTTATAGAAGACTTGGTGACCCTCATATTTTTCTTTTTTTTTTGCGATGAAGATTAGCCCGGAGATAACTGTTGCCAGTCTTCCTCTTTTTGCTCAGGAAGATTGGCCCTGAGCTAACATCTGTGCCCATCTTCCTCAATTTTGTATGTAGGACGCTGCCACAACATGGCTTGATGAGCGGTGCATAGGTCCGTGCCCAGGATGTGAATCTGTGAACCCTGGGCCTCCGAAGTGGAGCATGTGGACGTAACCACTATGTTGGCCCCATGACCTTCATTTTTTGAAGATGGAAACCTAGTGATTGGTGCTGATAGTGGCGTTGGTGTATGTGTATCGGCAAGGACTGAGAGTTTAGAGAAAGCAAAGAGGAAAACCTAATAGAGAACACTGCTTTGTTGATCAAAGCAAAGTCTTAGGGTTAAGAATTAAAATATACTATTTTTCATTCCTTCAAATGCTGTATTGACTACAAGATGTCTGCAGATTCAGATGTTTAGGAAATGTTTCCTTTACTCTCTTTTTTAAATTTTATTTTATTGAAGTCATACTAGTTTATAACTGTGAAATTTTGGATGTACATTATTATTTGTCAGTCACCATTTATTTATTTATTTAATTCATTTTTTTTGAGGAAGATTAGCCCTGAGCTAACATCTGCTGCCAATCCTCCTCTTTTTGCTGAGGAAGACTGGCCCTGAGCTGACATCTGTGACCATCTTCCTCTACTTTATATGTGGGATGCCTACCACAGCATGGCTTGCCAAGTGGTGCCATGTCCGCACCTGGGATCCGAACCTGTGAAGCCCAGGCCACCAAAGTGGAATGAGTGCACTTAACCGCTGTGCCCCCGGACTGGCCCCTGTCCGTCACTATTTATATATGCCTCTTTGCCCCTTATGCCCACCCCCAACCCCCTTCCCCTCTGGTAACCACTAATCTTTTCTCTTTGTGCATGTGTTTGTTTGTCTTCCACATATGTGTGAAATCATACAGTGTTTGTTTTTCTCTGGCTTATTTTGCTTAGCATAATACCCTCAAGTTCCATCCATGTTGTTGCAAATGGGATGATTTTGTCTTTTTTTATGGCTGTCGTTTACTTCTCTTTTTTGACGTGGAATCCCTTGGCTTTGCTTTACTGTTTTAATGCTTACCTTTAGTTATGAATCAGTGAGGTAACTGTTTTTACTACAAACTTGTATACAAAACTATGACAACAGAGAGTCACTTGCATTACAATCTACTTTGTATGCTATAATGTGTTATTTTTTCCTTTGTGTTTTAAACACTTTTGTTCCTTGACCATTTTTTACTTAAAAGAAGTTTTTGGAAGGTACGCTCATTCCCAGCAGTAGCATCTAAGTGTGCCTAGTGGATACTCAGTTAGTAATGACTGTGCTGAATAGTTCTGAAGAGGAATATTTTGTTGATTGTCCTATGCCCCTAAGACACGCTCTGGAGAGACTGTATTGTATTGTGGAGATAACCTAACCTTTGGAGTCAAGGTTTGAATCCAGGCTCTGCTACTTACTGGTTTTGTCACTTTGGTTTGTATAATCATTCTGAGTTCATTTTCTCAGCATTTGTAAAACAAATAAAATCCACTGATAATCTCACCTCTCCGATGAAGCTAGTTTAAGGTCCATAATTTCTTATCCATGGTTCCGAAATTCCAACTGTTGTGAAAGTGGAAAGTTTGTAGGAAGTTTGTGGCAGACTCACTTGGCGGCACAATCCAGTCTGCACTGATGTAAGGTGGTTTGTAGTCTTTATCATACCTAGTATAACTAGTCATACTTTTTTCCACAGACATATTAGTGTGTTTAATTACAGAGTGTTGACCCAGACCCTGGTTGGAATATTTTGTAACATATAGAATATCTACCATATTAACTTTTCTAAAATCTGAGAAAAAATTCAGAATTCTGAAACCTGTCTGGCCCCAAGAGTTTTTGATAAAGGGATTTTGGAGTGGAATTAAAAACTTAGGAAAAGATGAATTTATTAGCCTATTTTGGTGGTTCTAGACTTTTTCTTCACAAGAATCTTCCCAGAACTTCTGCACCTTCATTTCATATTTTCATTTTAGGAGAAGACCCAGAAAGAAAAGAAATAGTCTTGATTTGTTTATATGATTGGTAATTCTCTGCAACCATCCCAAATAATTGTCTCAAAGTCAGCATGCTCATCTTTCTATACATTCAATTCCCGGTGACAGTTTAGGCCTCTTGACTCTTCTAGTGTGAGAACCAATGATTTATTAAGTACTAAAGTGAACAAGCCCCAGGAGCCATGTAGCGCTTGGTTTTTGCCACCAATATTGTCAATATGACATTGCTATTCTTTCCCTTTTTGCCGTGATGTTTCGTTTTTGTATTGTGCTGCTTGTTTGTTTCCTTGGGCAGCCTGAAACTTTTCTTTGCCTCTGACAGTTGAGTTCAAGGTTGAGGAATTTATCTTTGACTTCATGATGTCATATAATTTTAATTTAAGTATTTCTTAATATTATAAATTCAAGACATGTTCGTTATGTAGGATTTGAAAATATAGCTATATTTTCACCACTTGGAAGTGACTGTTTTCCCTGTGTGGGGTATTAATGTAATATATACACACACACACACACACTCTCTCTCTCTTAAATTGGAATCTCTTACTATTGTATGTACATTTTGTATCTTGCTTTCTTAAAAAAAAATAACATGTTTATTAATAGTGT